ACAAAAATGCTGATAATTGGGGTTCAGTTCAGATATAGCAGCCTACATATCCTATTTCATGCAAGAACTTTCCTGTCAGGGACTGAGCACTCCAAAGCCAAAGTGACCTATTTTGAGTCCACAGAATAAAAGCTTCGATGTCAACAAAACTAAAACAAACAGCAAACCTAAATCTGTAATGATCGTGAATGTTTTCAAGCACCCCCGTCGACACAATCAAGCAGGCCCTCTTGACACTCTGCCTGACTGGGCGGCCTGTCTGGGCAGAGTGGGATGCAGAAAAATGGAGACACTCAAAAAAAATAACTCCTCCATGGAGGAATCAAACTCAGGTCTTTTGCTTGCAATAGAAAAGAGCCTGACTATTACACACCACAGAAGCCTGTAAACCATAAACGAACAGCAAAAAAAATGTACTCCAAAGGAGAGAAAGCTCAGTTGCAACTGTTACCACTCTGCTTCTTACGACAAGAACAGCTTTGTGACATAAAGAGTCATTTCCACTATCTTAATTTCCTGTTTTATCCACCATTGGTAAGAGTAAAGAATAAGGATCTATGATCTTTAAAATATTTAGTCACAAAATGTGCCTAGAACAATAATTTAGTACGGTTTTTACTCAAGTTACTTTCTTTAATAGCACATGGATCAGAAATAAAATTTTGAGTTCTTCACATTTTCCATGTGCTGAATAGCACGCATTTTGTCGTGAAGCCCAACATTTCTCCTTCTTTACAAACTTACTGCCATGGTAAACAACAATAAGGACTGTTCACACAATGTATAAATGACAGGAATAATTTCATTTCAAATAACATTTCCAGCCATCCATTTCACAGGAAAAAAAAAGGACCCCCAAAAATCTCATGGATTTAAAATCATTCTCCTTGAAGTTTAAAAAGAAACCTTCAAAATAATCATGATAATCACAATTGACAGATCTACTAAGAAAGTAAGTAAATCAATGTTCAAATGCGACAACAAACCTTAAAATTTGTTATAAGATTAGCTGCAAATATTAAGTGAATTTGTTAATACCTATTTTTTGTCTCTCATTTTCTCTTTCTCTCCTTTCTGATACATCTCCCTCTTTTTCATCACTTCCAGTTTCTCTCTCTCTCTCTCTCTCTCTCTCTCTCTCTCTCTCTCTCTCCATCTCCCCCCTCTCTCTACCCCCTCTCTCTCTCCCACTCTCTCTCTCTCTCTCTCTCTCTCTACCTCTGCCTCTTTCCACTTAAGCCTTTCAATTTATAATAGCTATTGCCAACAATTGAACAAAAAATTGTTTTTTTACAACATCATAAAATGATATGAGACATGACCATGCATTCTAACAATCTTCTTTGAAGGCACTCGAATTAGTCCAGTAGGTTACCATAGAAACGAATCACAGTTTTCTTTCTATGGTGAAGATATCATGTGAACATTGTCAACAAGAAAGGTCATCTAAACAAAAATAAAAATTCATGCTTTTTTTTTCCCACTTCAAAGAAAGAATGCAGGATAAAATGTCTAATGGTGATAGTAAAGGTCTGTAAGGGCTGAAAAAAGGGGCCCTCATTTCATAGAGATAATATTATGCCAACAAGTTCATGGTAAAGCTTGATAGAGAAATAGTCGATATTTTTTAAAATGAAGTTTACTTCTGGTCATGTATCCTTTTGAAGGCTCACATGAATTCAGTAGTTACAAGAAACATGCAGAACAAAAGGCAACTGAGGAAAAACACTCATGAGACCGTGGTAGTATAGCCTACCATGATGACCATTAACTCTTTCACTACCATGAGTTGTGTTTCACGGCTCTCCACTTCCTGCTTCAAAAGCACACCTACTTTTGTAATAATTGAAACTGAAATCTCAAGCTGAAGAAAGATCGATTTTAGCAACATTATGTCCTCATTTCCTCTTTATTTTCGTGAATAATACATGTTGCTTATATTGAAAATTGAACTCAAAATCTTTAATTGGTGCGAGGGTAGGCAGAATCAGAAAGTAGGTCACAGGTAGGGCTCGGTCCAGATGAGGAAAGCCCCCTGGTAATGAAAGAGTTAATTTAAAAAGTCAAAACTTAAGAGACAAACCATAAACACATAAAATCCCTAAAAGCATGGAGAAAAACTAGACAACAGAACGGAAAAGAGAAGGATTGAAAAAAAGAAGAACTCAGATTTATCAGAGACACTCTTTGCTGCCTGATGTGTCAAGAGAAGGGTAAAGAGTACTCGTCTGATGCGGTAACACTTTGGAGGCACAGCTGCCCTGCTATGTACTAGCACTAGCAGGGAGCTTACGGAGATATGTGGTGTTGTGCTCTGGGTTAAAGAAAAACACATTAACACACCGGATCAATTATGTGGCATCATAGTGAAATCAGGGGATCCCCCACCTCCTTCGATTGCAAATATCGCGAATTCTATTCAAGGTAGACAGGGTTCTTTTTATTTCATCAAAAGCAAGAAAAATAAACAAGCTTTAAAGATTATACAGTGGCTGTCGCATTCAACGAGGTAGCCGGGACCGGCTTGTTGTCCTCGTTGGATCTGACCTCTCGTTGAACGTGACGAAGGCTAAAGTAAAGAAAGGAGACAAGTTATTATATTACACGATGTACCAATACCAGTAATTAAAACAGTTGTTCCCCCTGATGACGAAAATCTCAAACAGCATCAGTGTGTGCGCGTTTCAGCTGTGTTCTGACCGTCATTTCTGCATTTTTAAATACATTTTTTTCCCGGAACACTTCTCGTGTGGAAACATACCCTCTGACATCTAGGCCTGGAAGTACATAAAGGCGGAAGCTTGGATTTTCTGATCAGGGTAAGAAAAGAAAATTAGACAAAAATGAAGGTTTCAATCTAGACCAACCCATCCAGAGTTCCTCCAGTTTCACACAGCCCGCATGGCATTCCCACCCACCCCCTCTCTAGGCTAACCCTCGCCCATCCTCTTGGCTTTGAGGCCCATATTAGGAGGCACACCAGATCTAACAATACAAAGTGTTAGGAATCGAGGATAGGCCTTGTGCTTCACGTGAGATGGAGAGAAAGGAGAAAAATTCTTCACTTTTGGGGCCGCTAATAGCTTTTATTTTGGTTATCGCTACCTCGTTGAGAGTGACTTCGGTCTGTTTGCAACCTCGTTGGAGCCGATGCACATTTACAGAGAGATATAGAGGAAAAAATCTGGGATTTAGGATTGCCTCGTAGGAGCCAACTTCTCGTTGAAAGTTGCCTCGTTGAATGCGGCACCCACTGTACCAATAACTCCATGTTATGCTAAAAAATTAACGAGCTTGATTTGATAGCGACATGACATACTTAGTGCTGGAAGAAGCAGGAGGATTTAACTAGAAGTAAAAGAAAGATAACAAAGAAATACGACCTATCAGTGGCACCCCCCTACCACCACGGTTGAAGACTCGTAAAGATAAGAACATTGACACAACAAAAGCTCTTAGGTCTTAGATACTGACAAGAAAGCAGAACAGCAGACAGAAAGGCATTTGTCAAAAAAAAAAAAAGAGAAGAATCAATAATAATTACGTACCCTTCAAACACCCAGAAGACTCAGGCAGTCAGAGGATAACAATAATTATTCAGACTAAGCTGGAAGCATAGAAGCATCATAATCATAGAGTTCCACACACTTCAGGGCAAAAGGACTAAAGTCAAAATATAGTCTGTTCCAAAGATGGCAGAATCATAGAGCATTAATAACATCTAGAACACAGAGGAAATCTCTTTTTGCTTCTGCATCTCTTCAGGAGCAGAGACATTTGAAATTGGTGGTACGTTTTCGAAGGCGCAGAAACTAAAACAAGTACATAGACACTCTAAGCAGCAATAAGATTAGAATAGAATTTTCAAAATAAACCTTGATAGATTTACATGGGAAATGTTACTCATGCTATGTTCAGGTACTTAAGGACAACAAAATTTTATAGTTTTCAACATAGCATGAAGTAAAATCTGGACACTAAAAACACCAGCAAAGCAAAAGTACTGGTCAAGCATTATTTCAGCTATTTGATACAACATTTTTAAAATCTTCTTAATTTGAGCTGAAAATCATAATATGAAAAGAGCATTTGAGGTATAGTATTTTGATATCAGACAGTTTTCTGATGTATGTAAATGTACACTGGATGAAGGAATGATGAATTAAATGGCTACAGTGAAGACGCTCATGGCCACATTGTCTCGAAGTCTAAGTAACAGCTCTGGGGCATCAAATAAAAGAACTCTTAGCACCTTGATGAAAATAAAACATCAAAACTCAACTCACATTTAATTAAAGAGGATGTGCTTTCATCCACTCCATTGTGAGGTTTTGACTTAATATGGGACAAAGAGAGAAAAGTCTCAGACTGAACACCATTGTTTCCCCATCTCTTTTTTGCAACAAACAGAGCTATTTGCTATTTAATTTTTAAAGGAGAAGGAACAACTTTTCCCCTGTGTTGACCAAGGCCTTTGTAGAAAATCAACGAAATTCATGATCTGTATCACATACACTTGATCATGAGAAAAGCTTGTCCATGGTGCAAGACTAGTCTTAGAATTTGATTAAAAGGAAACACATTGGCACGATACATTTATGGTCATTTAGTGCAGGGAAAAGGTAAGTTAAACAGACAGAACACAAGAGATTGAAAGAAAAGAATTAGGAACTACCTGTGGCGTCCCCCACCCACATATGAAGAAAAAAACTGTATCTGTCAGGTATAACCATTGTAGCCTTACTAAGCAAGCTGTTACAATCCTTCAGTTTGTATTACTGGCCGAGCACATCAGCACCGCAATATAAAACATATACAAGAACTTTCAACAAAAGCACTAAGCAGAACAATGACAAGGATCACAGTGTGAAGGAAGCATGACTAAGCTCTGAAACAGTGCAAAGTAACAAATGGCATGATGTACAATAAAAGACATGATAAGTTTGTCTTCCCCGCTAGCCCTCTCCTCTCATCTCCCGAAAACTATAAAACAGTTGGGGTTTTTTTTTTCCACAATTTTGTAACATATCAGTCTGTCCATCAACTCGAGGCTCCTGCAAACCCAACCATTTAATTGTTATGTACACCCTCCCCCTCCATCCGGAATAACAGCCTCAGCTTGGACTTTGAGCTGACAATTATTTGCTATCCATTCAATTTTAATCTTCAATAAGGCAAAGAATGCACACGTTGGCTACGCTATCAAAAACTTATGGGATTTTCGCTTCTAGTAAGTTCAAGAAAAATTCTGTTGCACGTTATGTTCCCAAAGTGGCATGTTTTTAGAAGAAACAGGTCTTGAAAGCTATCCTTTACCACCATCTTCAAACACTTGATACAAACAATTGTACGTGATCAATCATGAAAACGGAAGCATCAACTCTAGAATTGTACTTTCTTGAACAAAATGCCTCATCAATCTGGACTTTAAGAACATTATCACAGGGGAAATATACTTTGTTTCCACTAATACAAGGCAAAGCATTCTGTATTTTTCAATATTATTACATTCAAAAGTAATAAAACTTTTGAAACTGAAGAAACAGAACTGATGTCAGCCATATTTCATACAAGAAATAAACATACAATTAAACATCTTACCAACGCTCACAATCCAGTTAGACAACATGTTCTTAACCTGTCCATTTATCAATACTAAAACACACCATAAAGCAGCACAGCACCATTTGAATTGACAATAACAAGTTTCACAGGTAAGAGTAAACTAAAGGGTAGGATGTTAAACAGCTACTGTAGACCTTATTTTTTTTTTCTTCGCAAGCCCCTTTTTTCAAAAATGCATTTTGCCCATTAGTTTTTTTGGAAACGTTTTGAATTTGCGGTTTGAGTACCCCAGTGTCATGTGTTCTAATACAGTAGTGCCCCTTTTGATATTTCATAAAAGAGTGTGTATCCGAAATTTCTTAAAAATTTCTTTAAAATTTCTTAAAAACTGCAAATTCAAATTGCGTGTAAAGAAAACTGCTCGGTAAACAGTAGGCCTACTGGCTGGTTTAACTCTGCATTCGTTGGAAGAAAGAAATCCTCTGTTAGCATGGATACAAGCCTTTATGCTGTAGACACGGAGCCACAGTTTGCACATGTGTCAATGCCAAGAGACCAGGCAAAAACATTTGTCCATCAGACACAGTTTTTAAAGTGTTTATAAAAGTTTACAATAGCAAAATTAAATTCAGTATTCAGAAGCATCGGCAAAAGCCTGTAAGAATGAGGGGTCATATATATAATAATCTAATAATCGTAACTGTGAACTTTCAAGATAAAAGAATATGTATGTGATCAAAGGCTATCCCCATGTAAAAGAAGAACACCCCCACACAGTCAAAGATGTGGTTTTTTGTATGAATGTATCAAATTTGAATATAAAAACAAAGATGTAAAGCAAATGACATCATACAGCGCCTAATTGGAAGGAAATACTGTGGAATCTGCATAAACCGAACACGGTTAATCTGAAAACAGTGGTAAACCAAAAGACAGTTTAAAAATCCCAAATTTTTTAATACTATTTGAGCAACCTCTCTAAACAAAAAAAACAGGATTCAACCAGTAGTTTTTCAGATTTCGGTTTAGCAGACTCCACTGTATCTACAATTCTGACACTGATTTATGTAAGCTAAATAAGCCTGAACACAACAAAAGACCGTAGGGACTTTGAAAAAATAACACAAAACAGAGCACTGATCACAGCCTAAATTTCACTTACTAAAGGAACCCAACTAAAAATGATTAATTGTCTACACTGAAAACAAATCAGCAGCATATTCTAACATCACAAGAAATCATACAAAGAAACAGCACTTACTTGCACCAAAAACCTTGATACTATAAAACTTTGAAACCGTAACAAACTGTAAATCTAAACCTTCTTTTAATGAACTTAATAAAATACAGTGTCCATGTGCGACAACTGCATGTCACGAGACACCTCGTCGTATAAGAGGATAGAGAAAAAAAAAAAGTAATAAAATACAGTGAACAATTACATCTTGTAGTCATGTAGAGACGAGGCACTGATCTTTATTCCCCCCCCCCCCCTTGTAAAATACAAAACAAATAGCAAGATGAAATTCTAGACTAGAAACTGTCACTTTTTAGCTAAACACCTGTGAAATTTCAGATTTAATCATTTACTTAAACAAGGCCAGTATTTATTTTAAAGCGAATAAATATTTGATAACAAGATGTCAATAAAGAAATATTATTTCCTATTGATAATCACCTGGCACCTTCGATACAATTAATGATCTATCCATACAATTAACACTCTCATACTCATATGCCCAAATGCACTCTTCTAATAATTCAAAGTATAAATGATGGTTGGCTGGTCTTGATAATTTTATGTACAATTAATGCCTTCTAATGATTCTGTGTACAAATATTGCCTCCTTCAAATTGCTCCACGCTGACTTTTATAACTACAAATTTTTTAAAAAGTATAACAGTCAATTATGCAAGCAGTTCCAATTACACATTTTACCAATAAGCTCCTAAGCTGAACAATTTCTATTTTTAAAAAAAACATAACCAAACATGTCAAAATCTTATCACAGAATAATCAAATTCTAAAACAATAGAAGTTTGAGCCACTAAAAATTTGAGCTAAAACATAAATGTGCATTCAAAACCCATCAACTTGAGAACATTTGTCTCTTATCCTTGCTGTTTTGCCCAGTTCCAGCATGGCAGTATGCCCATGACCTTGTGTGAGGGAAATATCCAACTTCAAAATACATTTGCTTTCCAGCAAAATTTTAAAAAAGTCCCCACTAAAAAGACTAAAAAAGAAAAATACAAAAATGTACTTTTCTTAGGATGCTGATGATGCATAACGTCCCCAACTCATTGTGCTTCATAACACCCAAACCGTCAAACAATGCCATTGGAATGAATTCAGAAATAAAATCACAAAGTAAGTTTGATAAACCTCTAAACGTCACAGATATATCCTTATATGAAGAACATACTGAATCACAATAACTATCCGTGGTAGTATCACACAGTTTTCTACCTAAATCTATATTCTTTATCTTTTAACAGAGACAAGATAATAATACATTCACAATAAAGACACGTATAAAATAAAAGAATGCGTAGTGTCTCAAATGATAATAATGACCACACTGCTGGACTTCTTTTTCAACAACAGTGATCTATGCCTAAGATCCCACTGCCAATCTTCCTGCTTTGTCATAGAGCTCACTTTTCTTAAGAAACAGAATTTTTGCTTGAAAGTGTTCATGAAACCATATCTAAGATCCTGGCTTTACCCAACAATAACTGAGTAAAAAATCTTGCTTTTCTTAGAGAGCAATTTTACCAAAGAAAATTTAAACAGGTCAGTCTGCTTGAGTGACCACACTTTGAGGTTATTTTATTTCTCATGATTTTCCTAGAAACCTAGGGTACCATCATATTTAGAAGGCAGGAATCACATTCAAGTGGGGAGTAGTTTAACACTTTCCACTGACGCAGCACGCAGAGCGCACAACACTTGTCCACACGGACCAGGATGCAGATACGCTACATCAGTACTTGGCAGTATCTTGGCAAAAATACCCCAACCATAAAATTTCCAGCATACTGAGAAAATTGAAAGTGATGATCGCAAGTTCACCATTAAATGAACTAGAATCGGAACTGAAAATATTAAATCTAGCACATTCATCACCCGAATTCTCATCATGGCATACGAGTAAAGCAGCACTCATGCTTGGTCTACTCAACATTTTTCAATAAAATTTACTCCAATTGTATACAAACTGATTTTCGACCTCAAAGGCCACACACACCATTCAGAAAGGAAACTTAACTTTAACAAAAGCAGATATCAGAAAGGAGATAATTACTGCAACGTCTTTGTTGCAACATCACCCTGTCACCAATCGGCGCCCCGTTGGGGAAACGGACAGCTTCTTACCGGCGTCGATCAGCGTCCCGTGGGGGCAAAAAGTTAAGTTTTATTCTGCCTATCTGGAGACATGTTGGTATCTAATCCTGCGTCTACTGGTCACCTACGTGTAATGACTTCGGTCGTTCCATGTTTTGGCTACGGTCTTCACTTTCAAAGGTTTCTTTCTTACGAGTGTTTTATCATGTACACTCACGATTTCGCGTCAGCAAAATGAAAAACAGGATGAAGAAAAGCACTCTGAATTAAAGGGACATTATTCTGAATTCTGGGTCAAACTATACGGCTTGTACTAATTCAGCAAGGATTCTTTTCCCATAATACCCTGCTTTTTCAAGATGCCTGGCAGCTGAGATCTTAGGCAGAGACATTACGGCTGTAAGCATGATCAAACATTCAAGTATGTCTGGCACTAGATGCTGCCAGTACCAAACAATGACAGATATGTTGGAACACTTCCTGCACTATCTTCAAATACAATCAAACTAACAAAGTCCTCACAGTGGTGTGTTGCTTTTCCACCCGCTGCCGGTAGGACCAATCATCCACATTCACACGTCAGTCCATCATGCAGGTAAGGTCACACATCAATGTCACCACTGTAAACTTTTGCTGGGGGCACCATGGGATCCGTCTCCTTTCCGTTCTCGGCCACAATATCTCTGTCACTGTATGCCGCACCAGCTTCCTCCACAATGGCGGTCTCTCTGATCTCACTGCTGGGTGTGTCCACGGGGCTTGCCGCGCCATCAGCGGGCAGTGTGCTTCTGCTGAGGTCCTCATCGGTGTCCAGCGATGTGACACCCGTCAACTGTGCCAGGTCACTGACGTCATCGATGGTTATCACCTCTGGAGTGACGGCACTGACTTTGGGAGGTTCTATTTCAGCTTCTGTACGAGATGAACAAGTTTGGGAATGTATATTACACTTTGAATGAAATACATTTTTTTTAATTCAAAGAGAAACCTACAGATACAATAACAACAGTAATGAAAGGACCAGCCTGGGCAGAATAGGACACAATATCCCAGCCAAAAAAAGGAGATGTTCTTCAGAATGAACTTTCTCAGCAGGAATTCCAACTCTTCTATGTGCAACAGCACAAACATTTACAACATCACTGAATACATGTCAGTCACGTTACTGTTCTACACTGAATACATGTCAGTCACGTAACTGTTCTACACTGAATACATGTCAGTCACGTTACTGTTCTACACTGAATACATGTCAGTCACGTTACTGTTCTACACTGAATACATGTCAGTCACGTTACTGTTCTACACTGAATACATGTCAGTCACGTTACTGTTCTACACTTAATACATGTCAGTCACGTTACTGTTCTACACTGAATACATGTCAGTCACGTTACTGTTCTACACTGAATACATGTCAGTCACGTTACTGTTCTACACTGAATACATGTCAGTCACGTTACTGTTCTAGTAATCACTAGTTCACCCATCAAACTCAGGTTTACCGTTCTAGTAATCACAAAACTCAAATTTACTAAGGTAGAAATCACGAGTTTACCCACCAAATTCAAGTTTACTGTGGTAGGAACCCTGGGGTTACTTACCAAACTCAAGCTTACTGTGGTAGATATCATGGCACGATACGGCAGCAAACTCCTGTATAGATGTGACAGCTGGAACATTCTGAAAAGAAAGATGGTTCGTTTGAGTAACGAGAAACCTAGTCGACACAATAACGGCAATTTAGATAAAAGGCAAGATTGATATACAGAAACAAAAGAGACAGACAGACAGACAGACAGACAGACAGACAGACAGACAGACAGACAGACAGACAGACAGACAGACAGACAGACAGAGAGACAGACAGACAGAGAGAGAGAGAGAGAGAGAGAGAGAGAGAGCGAGAGAGACAGATCGGAAACACAGAGAGACAGAGACAGACAGCGAGACACACACACACACACACACACACACACACACACACACACACACACACAATCACAAACACACACACACACAGAGGGGGGGGGAGAAGGGGAAAGAGAGAGTGGGGGGAGGGAAGAGGAGAGAGAGAGAGAGAGAGAAGGGGAGAGAGAGAGAGAGAGAGAGAGAGAGAGAGAGAGAGAGAGAGAGAGAGAGAGAGAGAGAGAGAGAGAGAGAGAGAGAGAGATGTAACTTTTAGAGCTAAAAACAAGAACACAAGAAACTTTATTTTTTTCAAAAACAAAATGCATTTATGATGACAAAGAAGAAAGCAAAACTCGCAAGGAAATTGGAAGACGCATTAAGACTAACCAACGATCAGTTTGTGAGAAAAAATAACTCATGAGTTTGAAAAATGTAGAGCTTTGGAAAAATCACGGCGCAATGTTTTTGGATCTGGAAAACGCTTACAATCAGTCTGCTATGAAAAGATCATAGATGAAAAGATCAAGGAACTCTTGAACAAAATATGAACGACGGGCAATATTTAAGCCTTTAATTACATAACTGACTTTTTAGAACAAGGTGGAAACATATTATCTGAAATAAAAAGTCAAGAAAACGGAATGACCCAAGAGGCAGTGATCTTCTCTACACTGTTTAATATACAGTGTATTAATAAATTTAGAAGGGACAATAGAAGAAAAATGTCCCAAAATAAATAAAACAACGCTTGAAATGCCAACAGAGATAGAATAATCAAGATCGCAAACAAACATCATTAGCAAGAACAGCATTCTAGAAATGTTTGTTTTAGGAGAGGTTTTACGGCGCTCGCAACTGCATAAGGTCATATGAGCGCCAGAAGATTAGAGGTGTCACAAGAGAGTAACAAACATAAAAAAAGAAGAAGGGGAGATAAGGACGATAGATGTTTGATAGGAAAGAAGGAGCAAACCATACCAGAGCACCCGCCAACCACCCACGCATTCTAGAAAGCACAACCGTGGATCTTAAAGTTTTGAAAAAGAGAAAACAGTCCTGATGTCCACGACACTGAAACAAAAAATGACTTACGAAATATTATTAAATGAAAGTGGACTCACGACTTTATATCAAAATAAGACAGAAAAAAGACCAAAAAAACCCCAAACAAACAAGCAAAAGCAAAACAAAAACAAAGAACAAAAGCAAAAAAAAAAAAGACCGCACCGACGAAAAATATTACTTTATAACACATTAACGACTTCTGCTGAAATCAAAATCAGTGTTGGACTGGTGGATCCAAAAACAATGAACGTTCCCTGATCACGATTCTAGTCAAAAGAACAAGATATTAAGTCGTATTCACGAATAACAAAGAAAAACAAAAACACCCTGTCAATTCTAACAGCCGAACTGATGGTAATACAAAGATCAACGAAAGACGCCCCCAAAACAAAACGGACGGACGCATCCTCATTAAATGATTATTGATTTCCCTACGGTGGTCCAGTCACTTACAGAACCAGACGAGAGACAGGCTAGATTTGACATTCTCCAGGATATAATTGAACTACACAAACAATTATTGGATAAAGCAAAACGGATTACCATTATATAGATACCATTACTTTATGGATTGCAAGGGAATGGGATAGCTGAGGGGCTCGCAGATAGAGAGGAAAGAACAAGAAAGAAGGTATAAAAAGACCAGACCCCCCCCCCAAAAAAAAAAAACACCAAAAAAAACCACACAACAAAAACAAAACAACACACCAAAAACAAAAGAAAACAAAAGAAAACCAACAACTAGGGCCCATCCGAATGAAAATCCTTTACATCAAAGAGTAGAAAACGTTCTTCAAACTGAATGGACAGACCCCCCCCCCAAAAAAAAAAACAAAAAAAAAAAACAACAAAACAAAACAACCCAACCCAAAACAAACAAACATCAACGAAACAACAAACAACAACAACAAACAAGCAAACAAACAAGAACAAGAACAACAAAAACTCAGCAACTCAACAACATCATCAAACACCAAAATCGAACAATCTAGGTACATTCTCTTCACAAAGGAAAGGACTAAAACACGAATTGCAGTACCATATTTTGGAAACGCTTTGTTCGTTTTGTGTAAATAAAAGTACATCGTCACTATAATGGTCATCATTTAAAGCGTTGAGAAAAGGTAAGACAGGCAAACAGAAACAACAGAGGGGAAAGCAAAGAAGTAGAACCTATCAGTGGCACCCTCCAACCACCCGCACCAAATGGAAAGGACCATAATTTCATAACAAGGCAGTTTTTATATTCACCATACTTGTTTTTATTAAAAGAGACAAAATATCCGACAATCTATTAAATGAAACTAACAATAGATCATGCTCTCTTGGAATGTGAACGGTTCAAACAGTAACAGAGAGAGAGTTAGTTATGTTTTAGATTTCTTAAGAGTTTAGCAGTACCTGCAATGTTCACAGGTCACAAACGTGCCTAAGAGAACAGGTTGTTTTTTGTTTTGTTTTTGTAAAGTGTTTTACGGCGCTCGCAACTGCATAGGTCATATGAGCGCGCGGGACACACCTAATATTTTCAGTTGGTAGGAAATTTTGAATTTTGCCCGGGTGGCGGCCGAAGCCTACTCTTATCGATTTTAGACCACCAAGGGATCTTTAACGTGCGCAACTTGCACACGGGCCCTCCGAGATTTTTCGCCCTTGTCCGAGAAGGCTAGGTGTAGATCTTTCCTACCAGAAGATCAGGGGTGTGGCAGAAAGACAGCAGTAAGGAGGAGCCAAGGAGTAGCAGTAGAAAGGCTGCAGAAAGAGTCAGGAGCCCAGAGGAGGGGCAAAGGAGGTGAGGGGGTGGGGGCAGAAAGTGGAAATGAAAGCAGACAACAGATCATTGCTAGAGAGCAGGAAAGGAGGTGAAAGGAGACAATTTTAGAGAAGAAAATTTTTCGGTTGCTACCCGGATTCGAACCCGGGACCTTTGAATGAGAGGCCAACACCTTAACCTCTAGGCCACGAGAGCCCCCGTGAACAGGTTGTGTTACTAGAGAGTATCATACAAAAAAAGTTTGATAGGAAGGAAGGTGTAAAATACACCAGGACAATCGCAAACCACCAATAAAATGAGTTCAAGGTTCAATTCAAGGCATTCATTACAACACAATCACCATTTATGTATTCCAAACAGCAGCAATCAAGCGAAACTTCTTTAAACAAACAGAAATACCAAATGAAGAAAATATGTCCAATATAGAGATGCAAAAAAAAAAAAAAGGTGTCATTGTAGATGTTTTACGCCACCACCGACACAATTTACATAATTTAGAAGGTGGGCTGCTTCTTCCCTGGCTGCCAGGCCAAACTGGGCAGAGACGAATATAGTGTCACGGCAGGCAGACAAATTTAAAGTTACACTCTTTAAAACATTGTCCGCAAAGGCAATCAAACTCATATATATATATATATATATATATATATATATATATATATATATATATATATATATATCTATATATATATATATATATTTATTTTTTTTTAAAATTAAAAAAAAATTTTTTTTTTTAAATTAAAAATTTTTTTTTTAAAATTAAAAAAAAATAATATTTTTAAAAAATTAAAAATTCAAAAAATAAATAAATATATATTTACACCAAAATCATGAGATCAAGAGTAGCCTATTGACCGGACTCATTGGAGAGGAGTGGGGCATTTCGTTTTCTTCGTTTCTTTTGTTCTTTTTTTGAAAAAAAAAACGGTGGGAGGGGAAGGAGATCTATATATACATTTGAGAAAAGAAAGAACACATTGTAAAATATTTTTAAAAAATTAACACAAACAGTAGGCCCTACAATAGGTTACACATAACACAATCTCCACTCGATCTACGTACTTTACAAAGACGCAAGAGTGAAAGACGTGATCAACTTGTGCTGAGAGTCCCAAATCAGGTTCAGATTTTTTTATCAAAAGAACACACCCCAAAAACCTAAATTTAAAAAAATAAAATCCTTTCAGAAAACAGGCCCCTCTCTGCCCTTTTATTAGCATTGACCTTGTCGTATTTAGGTCAATATCTTCGTAAACTTGCAGGCAGCGGCCACAGTCCATGTAACCATATCCCTCTGTTTACGACCCCGGAGGGTTTCAGGTTACGAGCAACTAACTAATTTTACATATATAAGAAACGTCTTTTTAACCTTACGGAACTTGGCGCACACCAGAACCCGTATCAAGTTAGCGTTATGCGGAGCTTTAAGTATAGCCTCAGACTTGTGCAGTGAACTTTTTTTTCTTTATCAGGATGGGCGATGATCTCTGGATTGGGGGGAGGGGGGTATGATTTATGATACTTGGAATTATGAAAGAGTTAGGAGAGTAAATCATCATCAACAGTATTATCATCATCATCATAATCGAAGCGAATCGAGCAAAATCAAGTCATCAATAGTGAGTGCACACCACGTTATATGATTGCAAAATATTCTAACGCTTTCATTGATACAACAAAAAATCCAGTCAAAATTGTCTTAGATAGTCACCCATTGTCTATGAAAAAAGGGGGCGTTTTTAGAAAGATGGCTTTCTTAAACTGTGTCATTTCAACGCAAAAAGGACGCAAGAAAGGGGGGGGGGGCATGTATTAACCATTTGTACAGGTCATTGTCTAATGCAGGTGGCACTTAGAGCAGCTTTGACTGTATTAAGAAGGCGGACAATGAAAGCTTTCGCAGATACCCAGGCTCTCGTTCACGACAGGG